TATCGATAATAATTTTCAATCTAAAACAATGATTGGATTTTTATTTTTCAATTGATGAAATTTACAATTTTTCAAATGGTAAATTTCTAATAATTGAAGAAAAAAAGAAATATATAGAAAAACATCTCTTATCGTCTGTTTAAATTTCAAGATAGTTGCAAAATTCGATAAATTTTTTAGAAAAAATTAAATGAAATTAAAAATAATAAATTACAATCGAATTCTTGATAAAATAATATAATAGAGCTTATTGAAAGAATTTGATTTTGATCTTGAAAAAGAGAGTCATGATTTTGCAAACGATTTAATCTAGAGATTACGTATTCGATAAGCTCAGAAGGCAAATCAATATTACTTGGAAATACTAAATCGTTAGAAGATTTTACAACTAGCATTTTGTGCACAATTTAACTCAATTAAGACATCTATGATATCGAAATGCTCTCATCAGTCATATTAAATACTCGATATTACTGAAAAAATTCATCATAATTATTATATTCAGCAATTGATTGGCCAATTTTCCATTCATTATTTTGTACATCATAATTATACGTTGGAGCTTCATTTACTATGGTATTATTGAATAATTACTTATGAAAAATTAGATTCATAACTAAAAACGACAAATGTCTGTTCCTGTTTAAAATTAATAACACATAAAATTTACATAAAATTAATAATATATACACAGTAATTAATAATGAAATGCTTATTGATTGAACACAATGATTTATTTTCAACTGCACGATAATGTGATTATTAAATTCCAAACTTGCGCTATCATTGAATTATTAAACAAATGATATGCAACGTTTATATGCATATATACTGTGACTGTGGATGATATCGGAATTTCATACATCGATATTTTTCGAAATTTTTAAACATATATTAGTCATGTTGCTGTATGTTTGAAATTTCATTTTTATAATTGTTTATACGTGGTTGTTTATACGATAAGAAATTCATCAATATTTCTTTCGCGTCTTATAAATTCATTTTATTTTATTGATTTTTTTTTATGTTGAATTTTATCCATCATACTTTTGATAATACTTATCGAGCATTTCTTTTTGTACCGACGACGGGAGAACATTATTTTTCTTTTAAAACGATTTAACGTAAATTTGTTATTATTTTTTGTGAAACGTAACATTTTTGTTTTTTTTACAGAATTTTTATTTTAAAACAATACCAAAAAATTGATACTTAGAAATATGAAAAAGAAGACCTCAATAACATTTTCAATATCTACATATTGAACATTTTCATTTGCATTTTCATTTAGCATTATCTTTTCGCGATATATATATCCTAGATCAGGCTGCAATTACTTCGTTAGACCATGGACAATTTCCTTTTTCATTTCTCGTTTGGATTTCGTTCAGTGTTATTTAATAGTGATTTTACAAATATCCAGAGTCGATTTCTTCCAAAATTAATTATCCACGAAACGATCCTTTCTTTCAGCGAAATATAAATGGAAACGGTAAAAGGATCTGCGTAGTTAAAACAGCTGACAAGAATATTGGGTTTCCGTTAAAACTGTCATTTTCTCGTTTTTAATACGGCCTGCGGTATCGAGAGAGAAAGATATTAGTGAATTTTTTATTTATCCTCAATCGATTTATAATAGTGTCAACACGAGTTTTCTAAGTTTTTCTTTTTTAAACATTCTTCGAAGAGCTATATTTTTCAATGTTTATCGGCGTGTCTTATTGATGTATAATGGTGTATAATGTAGTGAATACGAAATTTATATCTTTCACGCAGAGAATCAGTGTTTTTAGACTTTTATTAGATATATTTTAAATACTAATGAATTCAATATAAATTTTCTAAACAGACAACATATAAAACGTATAAAAAGTGTTTTTAATTTAAATTTAATTTAAATAAATTTTTTTTTTTTAGCATCTTAAAAAGCAATAATAATTATTGTTGCAACATTCAATAATAATAACTTTTTTACAATAGAAATATTTTCAATATTAAATCTATTCGAATACAGTAACAATTAAAAGAATTTCTGAAATAAAACAAACATCAATAGTAAAGGGAGTGCGTTCTAATGATCAATAAATAGATCGATAAAAACGCCCTAATACACATATAAGCACAAGCATTGTACCGATAATTTACATACATATTGCTTTTTATGCATTTTTATCTTTTTAAATATACTTAACTCATCCGACATCTAAAGTAAATTAGTTAACTAAAGTAAACAAAAAATAAGTCAGTCAACACTTTTAACAATATCTTAACATTTTTCAAAGATATTAGTGAATTTTTTATTTATCCTCAATCGATTTATAATAGTGTCAACACGAGTTTTCTAAGTTTTTCTTTTTTAAACATTCTTCGAAGAGCTATATTTTTCAATGTTTATCGGCGTGTCTTATTGATGTATAATGGTGTATAATGTAGTGAATACGAAATTTATATCTTTCACGCAGAGAATCAGTGTTTTTAGACTTTTATTAGATATATTTTAAATACTAATGAATTCAATATAAATTTTCTAAACAGACAACATATAAAACGTATAAAAAGTGTTTTTAATTTAAATTTAATTTAAATAAATTTTTTTTTTTTTAGCATCTTAAAAAGCAATAATAATTATTGTTGCAACATTCAATAATAATAACTTTTTTACAATAGAAATATTTTCAATATTAAATCTATTCGAATACAGTAACAATTAAAAGAATTTCTGAAATAAAACAAACATCAATAGTAAAGGGAGTGCGTTCTAATGATCAATAAATAGATCGATAAAAACGCCCTAATACACATATAAGCACAAGCATTGTACCGATAATTTACATACATATTGCTTTTTATGCATTTTTATCTTTTTAAATATACTTAACTCATCCGACATCTAAAGTAAATTAGTTAACTAAAGTAAACAAAAAATAAGTCAGTCAACACTTTTAACAATATCTTAACATTTTTCAATTCTTTTTTTTTTTTTTTTCTTTTTTCCCCTCTATTGCAATTTTAATCTCTTCGTCTTCGTCAAAAACGCTTCGTGAATTTTCCGAAAAAAAGAAAAAAAAGTGCAGGAAGTGGTTGGTAATTCCTTCTCCATTCTGAAACCGTAAATTTCAAATTGTACCGTCGACGGGTGGTCCGCATTAGAAATGCAGATCCTCCCCTCCTGGTTCTTTCTTGCATTCGTCGTTGGCAGGGGACAAGGACGAGGGAATTCGAAGACGCAGAAAATCGAATCGCTCGGATATTTGATACACGACCCAGGTTCATTTCTATAACTTTCCCCCGCCTTGGAAACCATTGCGAAAACAATTAGTTAATGGTAGACGGACAAAGTTTACGCCACGATCGAGTTACACTTTAATGGAGTCAAAGCATTTTAAACTTCCATGTTGCGATGGCTGGATATCGGAGGCCTATTGTGCCTCCAAACTATTGTTCGAATTAATCGGCCCTGTTACGCTCGTAACCATCCGCCTTCCAAGTCGGAATTCAATTTGCCGAACGAATCGAGTAGAGTTTTGTTCTAAACGAGATAAACAAAAATTCTTTCAAAAGAGATAAATTCTTTTTTGTTTGATCTAGAAATTTCAATTTCAATTTAGAAGCTTAAACGTATATTTTTCTTGAAGTATGCAAACAATGCTTCCGGAAGATGTTTCATTTCTTGGTGATGTCTGGATTTTAACAAACGGAGAAATTTTAAATTTTTCTCGGATCTAAAAAAATTTGTTATTAATAAAAGAAACGCGGGATAAAGGTCGAAAATATAAAATGACGCGGTATGCGTGAAATTAGGGGTGGTTTAAGTCATCATTTTACTGGTTTTTGGATTTTTTTTTAAAAAATACCGATTTTTAAATTTTACAATTTTTTCTATATAAAAGTGGAAATCTTGATTGAATAAATGCATATCGATATGCAATATAAATATCTCATGAAATTTATTAATTTATATATTCTGACGTGATAAATTTCATTGAAAGTTACATACACATAAATTTTATTGGAACGACTTCATTTATATTTCAATCACACGACATAACTACAGTTCTGTATACGTATTTTCTCTATTTAAAATATATTAAATTACAATATTTTATTATAATATATTAAAAGTAATATATTACTATACTTCATACGTTAAATAGAATGATCAACTTGCGTTTACAGATAATGCGATAGGGTTTATCGCAAAGTTCATTGGAAGAAACGTGTATATGCATAATGAAAATGAATGAAAGAATGGCTTTTTATATGGAATATGGAAAAGTGAAAAAGTATTTCATAAATTTTCAGCGAATCTAGAATTCGAGTCAACGAATAATATATTATATACAATTCGTTATAAATGAAGATTTCTTCGAATAACTTGCTGCACCATTATCATTATAAACGCATGATTTTTAATTTTTATTTTTATATCAATATTCGACATTATAAAAAAAAAAATGATAATTTTATATTGGAAAATGTTTCTTTACAATAGAAGAATTTAGCAAAGCTAAATTCAGTTATCACGATCTCGATGCCACTGTTTTTTCGTTTACTTCCATATTTTTCAAGCTTATCGTCGCCCCATCGACGAAATTCGTAAATCACGTATCCCCAACGTTCATAATTAAATCATATACCAAAAACTAACGAAACTCATCTAATATAATTGATCTACTCAATAACAAATCGTTCCAAACTGTTCCATAAAAAAAAAAAACACTTAATTCGCATTAACACCTTTTTCTTTCACATTAAAAAAGTAAACATCGATCACGTCACTTTCAACGCTCTTCAATGAATAAATTTCCAAAAACTACAATTATTAATTATTTCCATCTCATAACAACATAAATATTGCAGGAAAAATAAGAACGAAAAAGAGCAATAAGATACACACACACACACAAAAAGACGAGCGTTATCCCAAAATATCCACTCGAACCCTTCCAGTAAGAAATAAGAATATCCCCAAGAAAACGTGACCTCAAGAAAAATCGATCCTCGATCCGCGCGCGATCAAAACCTTCCCTCGGCTTCATTCTCCACGCTCGAACGTTTACACACTGCGCGCGTCGGTGTAGGCGTCGCGACGCCTCGCGCCGACGTGCTCCTCTCGCCCTCTCCTCCTCCCCGCCCGTGTTTCGCCCGTTGAATCCAGCACGTGGCTTCAAAGGGAAGATATACGGCGGGGTGGCCGCCTGTTCCCGGCCAAACGGCGACGACCCTCGCTCGTCGTCGCTCGTTCTCGCGCGCGCGATTTCGAGAATCCGCTCGCTCGTACGGCGGAGGAGTCGATCGTCCGCGCCGCGGGAGCGCCAGAAGAGCAGTGGGTACCGGAAAACGGCAGCAATTTTGTTCAACGCCGCCAACTTCCGTCGCGATCCTCTTCCGCGGATCAACGTGCGTGAACGAAAAGAAACGCCACTTTTTTCTCTTTTTGGTGTACCACAATTCGTGTACCACAATGTTCGGGGAGAATTGAAGAAAAGGGGCGAGGAAGAAGAGGTGGTTGATCGGTTGGCTCTTCGAACGCTTGGTGGTGCGTCGCTATGGGACCATCCTTGGGTGAGTGTTTAACATTTTTCTTCTTTTTCATTTTCCAATATCATTTTGGAGGGACAGGTGGAATTCTTTTCGATCGAAAGGGGGAGGAAGAATTTCAGGTGTGATTTCTTAATTTCGAAATTTCGATTAGAATTATCTATTATTATAATATGTAATTGTGATGAAGGGAACAAGAATTTTAGTTGGTTTAATTTTAATTCTTTCGAACCTAAAAATTGCTAATCGATTTATTTAAAGGAAGTTTGTATATAAAAATTGTTATGATCAATACGTTTTAACATTTCTTTCACGTACGTAGGTAAACGATTTGTCAAAAAGACTTTGTGACGCGAGCTTTGTTCGAGAAGACAGATGTTCTCCGCAGATTTCCCTATTCTCGAGAGGATTTCGAGTATAAACGTCGAAAGAATCTTTGATCGAGAGCAAAACGGTTCACAGATATATCCGTGGGATCGACGAATTTTCGAACTCGTTTTCTTTCTCTCGCGGCAAATGATAGAATCTCGGTTGAATCCCGCCGTCCTCAACCTCCTCCTTTTTTATTTTCGGACACGAAACGAAATAAATCGGCGCGAATCTCCGACCGTGACAATAGAAATATGATGTTGACTCTGTGCGCAGTGTGGCGATTCTCCTGAATTTCTCGCCCGTTCTTCTTTCGTTCTATAATATTTCTCTCGCGTATTTTATATATTGGAAATTGGAAAAATATATGGCTATCTTTTTCTTTTTTTTGCAAAATATGGCGATTCTTTTTCTCTTTTGTATTCCTTTTTTTTTTATATAAAATTTTACAGTTACATCATTGTATACGGTGATTTCTTTTAATGAACGGATATATACAAGGATCGATACAAGGATTTATAAAAATTGGAAATTATCTTCCTTATAAAACTTAATTGTAATTCATCTATAATAATTATTCTTTTCAAGAATGATCAATTTTGATGGTTATCGCGTATACACGTTTGAGTTAATCTTCGCTTTTGGAATTTTTTACTCAATTTTTCTCTTACTACAATTCATAATTTTGCGCCGCAATAGTGACAATTTTCAAAGGATTTGAAAACATGAAAACAAATAAATAATTTCATCATTCTTTCTAATTTTCTGATCTTTCATATTTTTATAGTATATATTATGTTTTTTAGTTTCTTTTAGTTTTTTACTTATCAAACGATTTCTTGTGTATAATAAACAATTTAAGAGTCGTGGTACGAAAAACACGTAATTGTACGAATAATAATATTATAAAAATTACGCATATATAATAAAATAAAATGAAAAAAGCATTCGTTGCCTGTCCAAAATGATCGACAAAACATATTTGGGCTGATGTCCAAACAAGATGGAGAAATATCGTGCTGTTGTCGTTAAGTGAATACACTTCTATTAATCTTTTACATTCGAGAGTCGACTATCGTCGATCAGTTTCAAGCAAAAATGAAGATTAAAAGAAGGTAGAATTGAATCTATTATAATAGATATATCTTTAAAGCAAAATTTCCAGAAATTACGATATTATCTCTGCGATGGAAATTTTAGCAACGATACTTATAATTTTTCATTTTTCTTGAATGAAAACACATTGACAAATCTATCTACATTTTATCTACATTTTACATTGAAAGTAACAATGTTTACAATTTATCACGGCTTAAAAATAACACCGTGGTTTTCCCCGTGTTACTCAGCAAGTGGCTATAGACACTGTTGTAAAATCGATTTAAAATAATAGTGATTTAATTCGTTTAAAATTCTTAAAAACTTACTTAATCCCTAAAACTAAATATATAAAACTCCTAACCTAATAATAACCTAATAATAACACTAGTAGAATCACTCGTTTTATTCGCAATCTTCCAATAGAATCAAATTCTTTCGGAAAAAATAAGCAAAAGCGAGTCACTGCACCGACGAAAATATACAAATATTAGTTTAAAATATAAATTTTCACAATGCGCACACAAAAGGAAAAAAAAAAATAAACCAAATTTCTCAACCACCCACGAAAAATCTTCTTATATTTATTCACACGCTCCTCGTCATTTAACGCATTTTCTCTCGTCGAGCAACGTTGCCGATCCTCGACAAAAGCGCGCTTATCCCGCGATCGTGGAAACAAATAAACACTCGTCTATCTCGTCGCCTTGATGTCGCGAGGCAACTTCGATTTTAAACACTTTGCTGCTCCGGAAAATCGTTCTCTGGTTGGTGTTGGTCGATTAACCACCGGTTTCCTCCGTTCGGCGGAGGTGTCGAGAAAATCGCCGTGCCGATCGATTCGTTTCGAAGACCAGTTTCCGCGGCGATGGAAATGAGTTTACGGAGGCAGGCAGACAAAATCGATGTACACCGCGTTAATAATACACACAAGCAAGGTCTACAACCTTTCGCGAACCAGCCTCGATGTAAAGACGCCTTCTTTCCTTCCTTCTTTTCCCCTCCCCTCCTTGATTCCTCCTCCTTTTCGCCTCTCTCCCCCTCCCCCTCCCCCTTTATTTCTCGCCTCAAACGAGCGAGTGATAGGAATCGAAGGAGAGCTTTCGAAAGCACAAGGCTTTTAGCAAAAGGCCACGAATCGTCTGTTTTACATTTCAATTCCTCGGTGGATGTCCTCGATGGATCCCTCCCGGCTATTCATCTCTACACGGACGGATTAGAAATGCAGATTCTCCTCCTCTCATCTTGGCGAGGAGGGGGAGAAGCGTGTCCGGGGAGGGGGGAGGGGGGGGGGGGAATTAACAGTTTTGAAGGAAGTTTGAAAACGAACGGAGGAGAAGTTGGCGAGGAATGTGTAATTATAAAGGGGTTGAGGAATTATAGTGGCGCTGAGTGTTGCTTTCGGGTTGCTTTTTCAGGTTTTTCGCGCGCTATATAGTCGAATGGTAATTTCATTGGTACGCTTGATGATAATTAAAATTCGGTTATTGAAAGTTTTAAATTTGATCGCGGTTGTGAAAATTTTTAGTAAAATAGTAATTGTCGTCGATATGAATATTTTTGTTTGCTATTTCATAGCAAAACGGAAAGTGTTCTTAATTAAAATTATTACTTAGGGATTTTATATGACTTGATAGTTGGATTACAAGAATGGATGAATAATTATTTTATGTGGGATATTTTTTTTTTTTTAAAAGATGAAGATTGGAATAATTTGATAAAAGGAATTAAAAAATTTCATCGTGGATGTAGAGATAAAACATACAAAACAATCGATAGACGGACAATGCATTAATATTAAATATCCAACGATCAATAAACAGTTTTTATTACCTCTTGTTCTCTTTACACGATGATATTTTATGAAACTGGTAGATTAAAAATAGTTGCAATTTTAACCACGCATTAATCAATTTGCTCCATCGAAGTTATGAAGCAAATATAAAAATTCTATTTCCAAAAATTATGATTAATATAATAAAATCATTGCCGATGTATAAAGTTATCTAAAGTTCTGAGAGTGCTTCGACGTTATAAGGCTACAAGTTCAAGATTGCAATAAAACGAGAGTTGGATCACGAACGATCTTATATATTGTTTTCCGTTTTCCTTATCTTATCTATTTGGAAAATTGCATTTGTACCATTTTCCTATTTACAAGGACAAGCATGAGATCTTCGAGTTATTGATTCGATTGAAATCTTGAACATTGGTAAATTTCGTTAAAAGAAAATTTCAATTTCTCATAAAATTTATATAAATTTTCCTTTACGATCCCTGAATACGAGATATAAATAAAAGTGCAGATAATTTTGCGTCATGATAATGCACTCTTCCTCATCTCATTAACGTTCACTTCAATATTTTTTCCAAAATGCTAATTTTTATTGCAGAATTGTGTGCGAAAATATCATCCAACATTAATGTCTAACAACGACGGAATATAAGAAAATTTTTACTTAAAAAGTATTCTTCTTATTCTCATCTAAGTTTATCAAGTTCTAAACTTGTCAGATTTCCATGCGTGAGACATAAGTAAAAGTTTAAAATGTTATTTTCGCGCCATTCAATCTCTCTTGGTGATAAAAAGCGAAAGGAGGATAAAAAAATACTCGAAATATTTCCTGTCATACAACCTATATATCCGCCTAATTCTCATTGGGCCATCGTGAAATAAACGTCTTTCCAACGGAGATCTTGCATAACTGTATCTAATTACTAATCCCTCCATGTGTGTTTCACTTTCGTGTCTCGTCTGCGATTTTAAAATTTTTATTCAAAAAGTATTCCTCTTATTTTCACAATTCCAAACTTGTCAGATCACCATATATGAGATATAAGCAAAAATTCAGAATGTCACTTTCGCGCCATCTTTATGCAATCCCTCATTTTCACGATGAAAAGCGAAAGAGAAATAAAAAAATACTCGAAATATTTTTCCCTTATCTCCATGCTTTTCAAGTTATATATCCGATTAACTCTTATTGGACCACTATGAAATAAACGTCGAAAATTTTTATTCAAAAATAATCTTCTTATTCTCATAATTCCAAACTTGCCAGATCACCATGCGTGAGATACAAGCAAAAGTTCAGAATGCCACTTTCGCGCCATCTTTACAATCTTACGCCATCTTACAATCCCTCATTTTGACGATGAAAAGCGAAAGAGGAATAAAAAACTACTCGAAATACTTTTCAATCTATATATCTGACTAACTCTTATTGGGCCATCGTGAAATATACGTGAAATAAACGTCTCTCCAACGAAGATCTTGCATAACTAGAAGATCTAACTACTAATCCCCCCACGTGTGTTTGTTTCACTTTCGTGTCTCGTCTACGACTTCACTTGACGCGTGCGATTCTTTTTTTACACCGACCTTACGGTATTCGCCGTCACGTATACCCGAGGGATACACGGTGTCTAAATGATCGAAATACGTGTCCGTGTTCCCCAGAGGAGCAGAAGAAACAAAAAAAAAAAAAAAAAGAAGAAGAAG